TCTTCGTGTTATTGTTCGTCATCATCTTGTTCTTATTCTATTCTCCTTTAATTGTTCATCTTTTTTATCATATTAGTTATGTTATTTTTATGTCTACACCCTTCCACTCTGACTGAACAAGGTGATTGATGGTGGTGGTTGTGGGTGGTGGTGGTTGTGGGTGATGGTGGTTGTGGGTGATGGTGGTTGTGGGTGGTGGTGGTTGTGGGTGATGGTGGTTGTGGGTGGTGGTGGATAATTGATAGACTGATGAGCATGTGACTGCATAGATTTCGAAATATATTGAAATAGTACTGAATCCACACACACACACACACACACACACACACACACACACACACACACACACACACACACACACACACACACAAACACACACAAGGAAGCTCGATAGGGTGAAGAAGTTTGCAAGGAGACTCGTCTCAGAATTGCGAGGAATGAGGTATGAAGAGAGACTGAAGGAAGTAAACCTGACGACGCTAGAAAGGAGGAAAGAGGGGTGGAGACATGATACAGACGTATAAAATACTCGTGCAAGATGGTGTACGTGTATTAATGAGTTACATGAATATGAGTAACAGTGTGTATGTGACGATGAATATGAGTGATGATGAACGTGAGTGTCAGAAGAATATGGTAACGATGAATATGATTACCTGGATATTTACAACGTACATCAGACTCCCAACATGAAATATGCAGCTGGAGTATTGCATATTCACCTGAAGCAACATGATATTAGAACAACATAGCAATGTGATGCAACAGCAGATACTGTAAGAGCAGCTACCACCTTGAGGTTACCTTGAGGTGCTTCCGGGGCTTAGCGTCCCCGCGGCCCGGTCGTCGACCAGGCCTCCTGGTTGCTGGACTGGTCAACCAGGCTGTTGGACGCGGCTGCTCGCAGCCTGACGTATGAGTCACAGCCTGGTTGATCAGGTACCCTATGGAGAGAACGGGATAATAAGATATTCGCCACTTACAAACCAGGAACCACAAGAGAATAGAATAATTACATAAAAACATATGAAAGGATAAGGGAAATCACAGGGTAAAAATTTGTTGACACTAGCGCCAGTAATGTTACATAGACATTTACGAAACCTGTGGATCTTTCCCTAATCACAGTAGCTTTGTTTACATTTAGTAAACAGCTTATGGAGCTGCGAAGCGTTACGAGGTTGTTTATAACAATAACCTCGGGTTGTGAAGTTTACAACCTCATGAACTGTTTAAGAAATGTTAATAAAATCCATCATTATTAAGGAAAGATGTAAGGGTTTCGTAAGGGCTTACAAGAGGCCAGGGCGCCACGCTTCTGTAGAAACCCCCTGGGTAAGACAACAGGAAGTGTTTGTTGGCAAATAGTGATGAATGGATGAGAGAGACTCGAGGAACAGTAAAGTAACCTCCCCTCCACCCTACACACACACACACACACACACACACACACACACACACACACACACACACACACACACACACACACACACACACACACACACACACACTCACACACACACACACACACACACACACACACACACACACACACACACACACACACACACACACACACACACACACACACACACACACACACGAGGGGGGGGCCTCGTAGCCTGGTGGATAGCGCGCAGGACTCGTAATTCTGAGGCGCGGGGTCGATTCCCGCACGAGGCAGAAACAAATGGGCAAAGTTTCTTTCACCCTAAGTGCCCCTGTTACCTAGCAGTAAATAAGTACCTGGGAGTTAGTCAGCTGTCACGGGCTGCTTCCTGGGGTGTGTGTGTGTGGTGTGGAAAAAAAAAATAGTTAGTAAACAGTTGATTGACAGTTGAGAGGCGGGCCGAAAGAGCAAAGCTCAACCTCCGCAAAAAAACACAACTAGTAAACACACCAGAGTGTCAGAGTGGTTGACAAATGGAATGCATTAGGCAGTGATGTGGTGGAGGCTGACTCCATACACAGTTTCAAGTGTAGATATGATAGAGCCCAGTAGGCTCAGGAACCTGTACACCAGTTGATTGACGGTTGAGAGGCGGGACCAAAGAGCCAGAGCTCAACCCCAGCAAGCACAACCAGGTGAATACACACACTCAGAGTGCTACACTCTGGTACATGTTATGGAGCCTCAGCCACCTGTTGGTCTCTAATTATGCGGAGGTGGGGTGGTTATCTTGAGGTTATCTTGAGATGATTTCGGGGCTTTAGTGTCCCCGCGGCCCGGTCCTCGACCAGTCCTCCACCCCCAGGAAGCAGCTCGTAACAGCTGACTAACACCCAGGTACCTATTTTACTGCTAAGTAACAGGGGCATAGGGTGAAAGAAACTCTGCCCATTGTTTCTCGCCGGCGCCTGGGATCGAACCTGGAACCACAGGATCACAAGTCCAGCGTGCTGTCCGCTCGGCCGACCGGCTCGGGTGTGGGGATGACGTGAGAGGGTAAGTGAGGGGGCAGGGGGGTGGGGTTGCAATGGTTGACGTGGGTGGCGAGTTGACAGTAGCGGTGGTTAAGGCGGTGTGGTTCAAGGACACATGTAGGTGAATTGATGGAGGAAGTGGTTGAGTAGTGGAGTTGAGTGTAGGAAGGTTCACACAAACGAGGACTTGCCACGGGGTTGATGAGGTTGTTAGAGTAGTGTAATTAACCCGAAGATAAATAACATGAAAAAAACATCATCGCTTGAATTGGCTCGTCCAGATAGGCTATATCCTCATGATTCTGTTAGCGCTGAGAAACGCAAAAAAGTCCTTATTGTCAGCTCCATTTGCGGTGAAGAAAGTTATTCAGGAAATAAGAAATCTCTATGGGGCTTATGACGACCATGAAGAACAAAATAACATTAATAATAACTGATAGAACAAAAGCTAAGGAGTTGACGTCACGTGGTTGAGAGGGAGCGAGCACTGAACCAGAGCCAAGCCGAGGCTCTCCTGATGAGCCTACAGGCCAACACATCTCAATCAATCTTAATTATAGACTTTGTTTCTCAGGCCTGGTCGAGGACCGGGCCGCGGGAACGCTAAGCCCCGAAATTTACCACAAGGTATCCTCTTCCTTCGCTTGAAGTGATAACAATAATATGTAACATTTACGAAAATAATTTTCTTGATGTAATTCTGATTTACGGTAGATGCACGTAACGACTCAACGACTAATTTGTAATTACGATAGTTTTTTGTTTTAGTTTTTTTCTATCACAGACGTGGGCATTCATTATATATACAATGTTGTATACATACAATGTTAACCAGCATACGTTTTCTTCCGTCCCCTGTCGATAGGGTTAGGGGAAGACTGCAGTATTATTGAGCATTCAACCACATAAGGTGATCAGAGTGCTTTAACGATGCTAACCAGAATATGTACAACATGGTCTTAAGCTCTCAGTGTACAAGGTGTACAAGAGATGTACAGGAGGTGTACAAGAGATGTACAGGAGGTGTACAAGAGATGTACAGGTGTACAAGAGATGTACAGGTGTACAAGAGGTGTACAGGAGGTGTACAAGAGGTGTACAGGAGGAGTACAAGAGATGTACAGGTGTACAAGAGATGTACAGGAGGTGTACAAGAGATGTACAGGAGGTGTACAAGAGATGTACAGGAGGTGTACAAGAGATGTACAGGAGGTGTACAAGAGATGTACAGGTGTACAAGAGATGTACAGGAGGTGTACAAGAGATGTACAGGAGGTGTACAAGAGATGTACAGGAGGTGTACAAGAGGTGTACAGGAGGTGTACAAGAGATGTACAGGAGGAGTACAAGAGATGTACAGGAGGTGTACAAGAGATGTACAGGTGTACAAGAGATGTACAGGAGGTGTACAAGAGGTGTACAGGAGGTGTACAAGAGATGTACAGGTGTACAAGAGGTGTACAAGAAACTAGTATTCTATCGTCGGTAACAGGACACGTGTTAGGGTTATCGAGGTCTCGCCCCTTCCTCTATCCCCCTAATACCCAAGGGCTAGGCTGTCCTCGCGGTCACCCCTCCCACTGCTCGCCAGACACAACTATGGTTAACTTTACTGACCAAGTTAAGTGTTCATTATCATTGTGAAGACCACCAAGGTGCACAGTGGTGGCTAAAGTCATCCCTAAGCAACTCGTTTTTCGGTTGAAAGTAGATATACACAGAAAGTATGAAATATTGAAAAGGCGTGTTGCCATGGTAGATGTGTGTGAGTATTTGTACCTTATGACTTTATGAGTGAAGTGAGGTTAGTATGAACCTCATAGAGCAGCCTCACCTTGATACTGAGACGACACCTGGTGAGAGGAGCCTCCTCTTCTTGATGAGGAAGCGAGGCTTGGTGTGAGGAACATTCCTTCATATCCTGTACTGCGACACCCACACCCTCGACCACCACCACCACCCCTTCCTGCCATCATTCCTCCTCCTCTGCTTCCTCCATGCAGCCCTTCCCGCTCTATCCTCGGCCTCCCCCTGTGTCACCACCAGCCACTCCCTATCCCCTCCCACGCTCAGTACCTTAGCCCCGTCAATATCCCGCCCTTTTTCACACACTATCCTAGTCCCCAATCCCATCCACGGGTCCCCAGCTCCATCCACGGCCCTCCCACAAACGTCAGGATCCCCCCTACAACATCCCTCAGTCCCCCTGTCAATAACACAGGGCCCCTCCCCACGCCTAACACCTGCGTATCAAGATACACAAAGACATTTATATACACTATCCCATGATGGCCGCGTACCTGTCCCACTGCGACGAAAAACCAGTTTATCGAAATAAAAACTGAAAGAAAACAAAAAACTCGTATAATCTATATCTCAGAATTAAACAAATCAATTTTGAAACAATGGGTCTCTAAACCATAAAAAAAAAGAAACTTATACATTCCTTAACGTGTCATTTCAGCTCCTAAGCAGTAAGAACTCTTTCGGCCGCCGGCGTTCCATCTCACAACACTTCAGTCGAAAGGGAAATCGCTCGAGGAACAATTAGAGGAGGTAAGAAAAAAAAGCGAGATATAACTGAGCGTCGGCAGCTGGCTGCGGTATGTATAGCGTGGTATAGCGGTATCCGGCAGAGCAGCGGCCCGGGCCAAAGTCCGAGAGCTGCGGTTAGTTCCCTGCCGGCCGCTGTGAGGAGTGGGCGTGTGTGTGTCTGCGTTCCTGGAGTCGGCCGCTCTTGCTCCCTCGACCCAACCTTGAAAACTATACTTTCCTATCTGAGAGTTTTATTTTGCTTGAATAAGACGTGTTTAAGGGAGACAAATTTAGCCGTTTGTGTAAAGTGAATTTATTTATTTATTTGGAGAGAAGAATTATTAAGAGATACGTTATAAAGGCATATAACAAGGCGTAAGATGATGAGATGATAGCCTTAAGTAGACACCCAGGACCTCGAGTGGGCACTAGGACCTCAAGTGGGCACCATCAGGACCTCTAGTGGGCACCAGGACCTCTAGTGGACACCAGGACCTCAACTGGGCACCAGGACCTCAAGTGGGCCCCAGGACCTCTAGTGGGCACCAGGACCTCAAGTGGGCCCCAGGACCTCTAGTAGGCACCAGAACCTCTAGTGGGCATCAGGACCTCAACTGGGCACCAGAACCTCTAGTGGACATCAGGACCTCAACTGGGCACCAGGACCTCAAGTGGGCCCCAGGACCTCTAGTGGGCACCAGGACCTCAAGTGGGCCCCAGGACCTCTAGTGGGCACCAGAACCTCTAGTGGGCATCAGGACCTCAACTGGGCACCAAGGTGGCCAGCGCCCACCGTACCCTGAACATGTCGCTGGTATTCACTTGACAGGGAAGTACCTTGGAGACGCCCGAGGAGTGGCGGCCAGCTCCCATAAACGACGTACCTTGTATGGTATAAAGTGAGTGTTTGCATCATTAATTCCCCCAGTTTATTATTGTTTACATTGTCCAGGAATGAATTTGGTTGTCGAATTTTGTTTATATTATATCTATTCTTTGAGGTTATAATGTACATACGATGGTATTTTGAACCAGAGTACTAATAATGGTATTTTCTGGGAGCGTGTGTTTGCTTACCAGTTTGTACTTGTCACGCCAGGTGTGTGTTATTCGCCCTGTGGTGGGTATAGGAGTAGACGACTGCTGACTCCTGGTAGCAGGCGGTGAGCTTTTCTTTCCTATATCTTTAGTTATCGGTTTACAACTTGGTTCCCAATTACTCCTGTGTGAACAGTTTAAGGATTATTGCCCCATGTAGTCGCTCTTCCCTGGCCAGGGCTCGAACCCGGCTGAAATAGCTGGCGAGGTGTGGGGCGAGCATTCTACCGCCGCGCCAAGGGGACCTCACTCATCTCTCGAGTCATCAGACCAGCTCCCGCCTGTACTTTTCTCGTGGCTGTTTTCTGTTATTTAGTAAATATCGGTACTACTTCCATCTCGGTGTTCCCCTTAGGTATCTTGTACATTGTGGACATTATTCCTGTGCTCCTTGGCTTTTATGGGCTATTAAAGAGTCCACTTGTGTGCGTGAGCGCTAAACATTAGTTATCCTGGATTATTGAAAGGGGGTGGGGGGTTGAAGGAGGTGGGGGTGGGGGGGGGGGGGTTGATGGGGGAAGCAGCAAAGGTAAAAGGTAGGCTGGTGGACGCGTCCACCTTGACATCGCCCACTCACTTCTGGTCTTAGGAGAACTTTGAGAAAAAGTAGCGTTTGTCGGTATGTCCGTGTGTTGGAATATCGGTCTCTGTGTGGGTGTGTTTTTTGTTATATGTGAGGATTGGTAAATGGGCCACGTTTATTGGTTAGTGTTGGCTGTCTTCGATGGTGTAGCTGCGTGGGAGTGTAGGCCTAGACAATTTTGCTGGTAATGTGTGTTGTTGTGTTGAACTATGGCAATTCACACAGCAATAGATCATTAAATCCATACTTGGTTTGTTTCGGTGGCCCACAAAATGTAGCCTAAGCCGCGGATTTGACGAGAATCAAACCTAATCTGTGTTGGAATGTATAAACGGAATAAGTTGATATGTTGATATAGATATGTATATCTGTGTGTTGGAATATCTGTATGCTTGATGGTCTATGTGTATATGTATATATATATGCGTATATACACTTTGATAAGTCAGTATTCTATACTAGCCTAGCCATAAAGATGCTGTTATGTGTTCACACGGACAAATTACATAGATTATAATTACTGTGTAGGTATATGTTAGGTTCATTAGTTTGTTTAATTACATGAGGTTAATTTAGGTGGTTTGGTTAGCTTTGGTCGAGTATTTTTAGATTATAGCACGGGACTACTAATTGTTAACATGATCACGACTGTTTCTCTGGCTTACGGAAATGACAATGCAGTTTATTTTGGTATATTTACTGTATGTGTTGGAACGCGCATTTTTATTCTTATACCGATGTATATGAATATGTGGATGGGATGATACATGTTCTATATTGGTAGTACTTGTGTTCAATATTGGGAGACAGACACCTGTGTCGGTCGCTTAATGCAATGACTCGGCTCCTTTGTACTTTTGTAATAAGATACATGCTGTTAAAGCCTAGTATTTATAGTACTGTATCTACAGGTATTTACAGTGGAGATACTGTATTTACAGTACTGTATCTACAGGTATTTACAGTGGAGATACTGTATTTACAGTACTGTATCTACAGGTATTTACAGTGGAGATACTGTATTTACAGTACTGTATCTACAGGTATTTACAGTGGAGATACTGTATTTACAGTACTGTATCTACAGGTATTTACAGTGGAGATACTGTATTTACAGTACTGTATCTACAGGTATTTACAGTGGAGATACTGTATTTACAGTACTGTATCTACAGGTATTTACAGTGGAGATACTGTATTTACAGTACTGTATCTACAGGTATTTACAGTGGAGATACTGTATTTACAGTACTGTATCTACAGGTATTTACAGTGGAGATACTGTATTTACAGTACTGTATCTACAGGTATTTACAGTGGAGATACTGTATTTACAGTACTGTATCTACAGGTATTTACAGTGGAGATACTGTATTTACAGTACTGTATCTACAGGTATTTACAGTGGAGATACTGTATTTACAGTACTGTATCTACAGGTATTTACAGTGGAGATACTGTATTTACAGTACTGTATCTACAGGTATTTACAGTGGAGATACTGTATTTACAGTACTGTATCTACAGGTATTTACAGTGGAGATACTGTATTTACAGTACTGTATCTACAGGTATTTACAGTGGAGATACTGTATTTACAGTACTGTATCTACAGGTATTTACAGTGGAGATACTGTATTTACAGTACTGTATCTACAGGTATTTACAGTGGAGATACTGTATTTACAGTACTGTATCTACAGGTATTTACAGTGGAGATACTGTATTTACAGTACTGTATCTACAGGTATTTACAGTGGAGATACTGTATTTACAGTACTGTATCTACAGGTATTTACAGTGGAGATACTGTATTTACAGTACTGTATCTACAGGTATTTACAGTGGAGATACTGTATTTACAGTACTGTATCTACAGGTATTTACAGTGGAGATACTGTATTTACAGTACTGTATCTACAGGTATTTACAGTGGAGATACTGTATTTACAGTACTGTATCTACAGGTATTTACAGTGGAGATACTGTATTTACAGTACTGTATCTACAGGTATTTACAGTGGAGATACTGTATTTACAGTACTGTATCTACAGGTATTTACAGTGGAGATACTGTATTTACAGTACTGTATCTACAGGTATTTACAGTGGAGATACTGTATTTACAGTACTGTATCTACAGGTATTTACAGTGGAGATACTGTATTTACAGTACTGTATCTACAGGTATTTACAGTGGAGATACTGTATTTACAGTACTGTATCTACAGGTATTTACAGTAGAGATACTGTATTTACAGTACTGTATCTACAGGTATTTACAGTAGAGATACTGTATTTACAGTACTGTATCTACAGGTATTTACAGTAGAGATACTGTATTTACAGTACTGTATCTACAGGTATTTACAGTAGAGATACTGTATTTACAGTACTGTATCTACAGGTATTTACAGTAGAGATACTGTATTTACAGTACTGTATCTACAGGTATTTACAGTAGAGATACCAGGCCGATGATATTTTACCCTCAAATTCAGTCTACTGCCTCCCACTCCTGACACTTGGGAGATGCTTCCATACCTCCCTTATTCCACCCCATGTCCTGTCCCTCTGTTGATTGCTCAACTCTCTATAACTTGATCGATATACTGAAGGATCTTGTACGTCTGGATCATGTCCCCTCAAGAGTTTTCTTCAAACTAAAGATTTAACTACATTAATCTTTTAACATGTATTTTCTCGATTTTGTGTTCTTGACCAAACCACACAGAAAATTAATTCTGATTTTTATGTTCTTGTTTTTTTGTTTGTTTTTGTTCATGTTTTATGTGCTTGTTTAGGTCGTAGTTCTATGCCTGCGCCACATACTCGAGCCTTGGTCTTTCGTACGTGGTTTGCATCATTTCGAGTGTTTTTTCGATTTTGGGAGATTATCGTGATAGTCTCTAATTTGTCACGTGATAGTGATTTGATTCTAGTTATATTCAAATAGGAGCCGGTCGGCCGAGCGGACAGCACACTGGACTTGTGATCCTGAGGTCCTGGGTTCGATCCCGGGCGCCGGCGAGAAACAATGGGCAGAGTTTCTTTCACCCTATGCCCCTGTTACCTAGCAGTAAAATAGGTACCTGAGTGTTAGTCAGCTGTCACGGGCTGCTTCCTGGGGGTGGAGGCCTGGTCGAGGACTGGGCCGCGGGGACACTAAAGCCCCGAAATCATCTCAAGATAACCAAGAAGATATTCGATGATAGACTGGGTGTTATGTCTACTCCCAGGAACTTTGCATGACTCAGGTAGTAGGTTGAGTGTAGCGATATATTGTATTGGTATATTTGAGTGTTTCTTGGTATATCTGTGTAGGGCTCTGTGGCTGTGGCTGGCTTTAGAAGGAACCTCCACAAACGTAAAGTCCCCCCTTGATGTTAAAGCTACAAAACGCGTAAATGATAAATCATAATTATATATAAAGTCTTTATGCCACATTATATCGTACAGACATTAGCAACATTTATGACAAAGAGGCCCTGTTGGACTCCGCCATGGGCCATCATAATGTTGTTCACACATAGAAATCATATTACCATGATATATATCGTGAGAAAATACACTAGGGCTATGAGGCGGACGCGAACTTAAGACCCCGCCATTGCCAGTCGCGTACTCTGCCACTAGACCACCGAAACTTATAAAAAGTCATTTAACCGGATTTCTACTGAAATCACAGGAAGTCTGGCAGTCCCTACTGAAGCCAGTCCAAGTGTTTATGTGTGACCCACAAGAACTAGTGGAAGGGTACGGTGGTACTTTGCCCATCTAGTAGAAATCCGGTTGTATGACTTACAAGTAAACGATGGTCTAGTGGTAGATTATGCGACTGGCAATGGCAACCTGTCCTCTTAAAAAGAACGTCACTTTTGGCCGTTTGCCCGTATGGCCGAATATGGACGTAATTTGAAAATGAAAAAAAATTAATATAAATTTGGGATTTTTTTTCAACAACAGTAAGTTAAATGTCCTCTGATAGGTTAGGTGGGCAGGAAATTCTCATAAAGTTTCAAAACGGTATGAAAAACGTTAATGGAAAGTATCCTTTTCTAACCTGTCCGAGTAAGCCGGACGACTCAAACAGAAAACGGAACAGTTCGTCACTTTTGTGAGTTGATTTCATTTCAAATTACGTCCAAATTTGGCCATAGTGAGCATACGAGCCAAAAGTGACGTTATTTTTAAGGGGACGGGTTGATGGCGGGGTCG